ATTAGTGGTAGTAGTGATAGTGGTAGTAGTGGTAGGAGGAGGAGAAGTAGGATAATGAAGAGGCGGAGGTTTAGGAGGAGGTAGGAGGAGGAGGCCGAGGAGGAGGGGGAGGTATGGGGAGGAGGAGGAGGAGATGTCCGTCTTGGTCAGCGTGGCTTGCAATCGCTCGGCCGTCCATTCCCCGTGCTCTTCTTGATTTCGTGCTTGTGTTTGTGTTTTGTTTTCTCCAGGTGACCCAACGTGCTCCCCGACGGTTTGACCTTTCTGGCGCTAGCCTCGCCGGGAAAAAGGCACACGTCCGAGCGATGCCACGCTCTGATCGTGGATCATCCCCGCGACGCGGCGACGGCCCGCATGACCAAGATCGGCGTCGACAAGAAACCGCGACACCTTTGTCATGGTCAACGTGCTGTTTCCCTCTTCCCTTGACCTGCCCCGCCCCCCTGCCCTCGCTGCCAGCTCCTCCCAGCCCCTTTTCCCCAGCAGTCGCTCACCATGACCACTGCGCACCCTCCTCTCTCCCGGGATACTGTCCGAGCGGGGCGCCGCCTCAGCCGCATACTGCATCTCGCGCACAGGATCCCGTACATGAATGTTCCAGGTTTTCCCCTTCGATATGCACACACATATCTATCTCTTTCTAGGGCCGTGGACCCTGGAAAAAAACGCCCCCCCCCTCCCCCTTAACGAATTCGTCCCACACCGGGCCTCTCGGGCAACCCTCCAGACGACCTGGGAGAACACCACGAGAGCCCGAAGACGGCCCCAGATGGCTCCAGGCGTTCCGGCGCGCTCCCGAAATGACCCCAGAAAGCCATCATAACCCAAAAGATCGCTCCAAAACGTCCCAAGAGGCCTCCAAGAGCACTCCCAAGAAGGCCCCAAGAGGCAAAACTCATTGATTTACTTTTGGTTTTTGGTGAATGTTGGGGATCTCCTCTTTCGGCTTCCCGACGCTCCAGACGGCGGTTTTCTGGCCGTCCGAAGCCGTCTGGGAGGCTCGATCATCGCCCCACAACCATCCGAAAGGGCTTCCAGGCAGTCCAAGAGAGCTCCAAGACTGCACAATGGGGTTCCAAGATAGCCTAAGAGAGCCCCATGACGGCCGAAAATGCTCCGAAGCATTCCAAATCGTGACCCGGTCGTTCAGGGAGACCGCGGTTGGAGGCAGGGTGGCCCGAGGAAGCCCCCAGAGGCCCCCAGAAGACGCCCAGGAGGCCTCAGAAGGCCTTAAAGAGAGCCTGAACAACTTTTGTGAGGCCCCCAGAGGCTCTCCAAGGAGGAGCCTTCGCAAAAAGAGCTGAGGAGGATGGGGCTAGGACGCAGGGTATGGCGAGAATAAAGGAAAATAAGCATGCAGGAAGGATAACGACTAACAATAGTATAACGGCGATGCCGGACAAGGCAACAAGAAATTATCGCTAAATTGTCGGCTTGACCTTACTGCCATTCCGCCTGCGTAACAAACTTCAAGGACCAAGGTGCATGGCGCGAAGCGCCAATGCAGTCTTGTATCTATACATATATACATATATATACACATAGATAAACTAGAACCATCACGCGCGCTTCGCACGCGTTCAAGTTCTAGCTACGCTTGATGGGCGAACTCATGGGTGTCGAGGAAGAGGATAGGGAGTAGGAGTCCCAACTTAAAAAGAAAGGGGATCTCTGGAATCTCTTTTTTCAAATTCCTCGGCGCTGTTTTGGGGGCCTCGCGGGTTTTTAGCTGGGTCCCTCATGGGTCTGGGGCCTTCTGGACCCCTGGAAGCCTCTCGGAAGCTTCATGGGGCGTCCTGCTCCCGCTCTTGGGCCCATCTTGGGCCTGTCCTGGAGTTTTCAGGCACCCCTCCTCTTCCCCCTCTTCGTCCTCCTGATATTCCTCCTCCCCCTCCTCCTCCTCCTCCTCCTCCTCCTCATCATCATCATCATCCTGCTCCTCCTCCTCCTCCTGCTCTTCCTCCTCCTCCTCCTCCTCCTCCTCCTCCTCCTGCTCCTCCTCCTGCTCCTCCTCCTCATCCTCCTTGTCTTCCTGCTCCTCTCCTCTCGACGCACCCAATACACGGGTGCCTACTGGAACGCGTGCCGGGAGCCGTTTTTGGAGCTCAGCCCGTCCTGGTGCCCTCCTGGGACCCTCTCTGACCATGTAGGAATCCTCTGGTGGCCCCCTCGGGTTTCCTGGGGGCTCTCTTGGGCCGTCTTGTAGCTCTTCTGTGCCGCTTGAAGCTCTCTTCAGCCCATATTCAAACCCTCTTTGGGGCCTCTGGGGCCGTCTGGGGCCCATTTTTGTAACCTCTTGGGCCGTCGCGACCGCTAGTAGAACTGAAAAGCGAAGCTCCCAGAAATAGATTCTTTTCCATCGGGAACGCTGAATGTTTGCCTCTGGAGGGCTTTCTCAGCGGCCTCTTGGACAGTCGGGGGGGGTTCTTATGGGTCTTTTGTGGCCCGTCTGGGAGCCCATTTCGGCTGTCCCGAGCCCCTCTTGGCATGTCATGGGTAGCTGAGCCGTCTTGGGGCCCTCATGGAGCCCTCTCCGACCATGTAGGGATTCTCCGGTGGCCCCCTCGGGGTTCATGGGTACTCTCTTGGGCCGTGTTGGAGCTCTCTTGTGCTGTTTGAAGCTGAGCTTCAAACAGCACAAGAGAATCTCTTCAGGCCGTCTGGGGGCCCTCTTGGGGGCCTCTTGGGCCGTCTGGGGCTCATTTGAGGAGCCTCTGGGGCCGTCGCGGCCGCTGGTAGGACTGAAAAGCAAATATCAAGGAATTATACGTTTTTCCATCGGAAATGCTTGATAGTTGCCCTTGACGGGCCTTCTCGGCGGCCTCTTGGACCGTCTTGATTGCCTCTGTGGCCGTCTAGGAGCAGTCTTGGGCTGTCTTCGAGCGCTTGTGGCCTGTCTGGAAGCCATCTCAGCGCGCTCTTCAGCCACCTTCCAGACAACCTGGGGCGGTTTGGGCGCCTCACGGGGCTTCTTGGGAGCCTCTTGATGGCCTCCGGGGGCGTCCCAGGAGCCTCTCAGGCCGGAGACCTTGAAATGTCGCGCTCTTCGGGCCCGCTTGGGTCGCTCTTGGGGCTCTCTTGGTGCGCTCTCGAGGCCCTCTTGAATTACCTGGGGAGCCTCCTGGGCCGTTTCTGGGCTTTCTTGAGAGCCTCTTCGGCCGTCTTGAAGCGATCTGAAGGGCACCTGACGCCGTCCGGGACCGCGGGGAGGCGGAACATGGGTGAGCGCAAACATGCTCCAAAAACAATCGGAAAATTGATGATGTTCGGCTTCTGGTGCTCTTTGGAGGGGCCTCTGGAGGCGCTCTTGGCGTGTCGTGGCAATATTTAGGGCCCTCTTGGCGTGCCGTGGCGCTTGGGAGCGGGCCTGGGCAGTCCCGGGAGCCCTGGGACCCCCCCAATCCCCCCATGGGGGGGTACGGCACCTGCCGGACCCCCCCTTTGCCACTCCGATATATATATATATATATATATATACACACACAAAAACATGCACACATACACACATACATACATACATACATACATACATACATGCATGCATACATACATACATACATACATACATACATACATACCTACATACATACATACATACACACGTACGTGCGTACGTACATACATACATACATACATGCATATACACATGCATATACATACATATACATACATATGCATACATATGCATACATATACATACATATACATACATATACATACATATACATACATATACATATATACACACATACACATGCAAATACACACACATCTACATACGTATACATACAGCTACATACGTCTACATACATATGTATACATACATATATACATACATACATACATACATGCATGCATACATACATGCATGCATACACACACGCGCACATACATATACACATTCATAAGTACATACATACATACAAGTAAACAACCATAGGCATGTATACACATGTATATATATGCGTATATATGTGAAACATATACATACATACATATATACACATACATACATGCATGCATACATACAAGCATGCATGCATACATGCATACATACATACATACGTACATACATACATACACATATATACGTATGTGTATGTGTGTGTTTGCCCCCTATCCAGTATGATACCTTTCCCTTGTGCGCCGTGCTGTTTCCTGCGGCGTCCTCATCGTCCTGCTCCTCCTCCTTATCTTCATCCTCCCGCTCCTCACACTGCCCCCCTCATCGTTGCCGCGCCTGGTTCATCATTATTCTCCTTCTCATCCTCCTCCTATCCCTCCGCATCTCCCTCCAACCGCCGCCTCCTCGGTTAGGTTTCCGAGTCGTGTATGTCACTCTTCCTCCCGCTCCATCGTCGATCTCTTCATCCTCCTCCTCCCTCCTTGTCGGTTTGCTCCGATATCGCTTCCCGTCCTCAACCCGGCGCCGTCCAGGAAAGGTCCGCCATGGGGCCCCCGAGGAAAGGCGCGCCCGCCTACCAACACAAGCTGGAGGCGAACAGAGGGCGCGCGGCCAAAACACGCGTGGCTGCTTGTTTGAAAGCAGCCGCGCGCCCGCGCCGCAGAGTGGCGGCGGGCGCGCGCGCAGCCTCTCGGCGGTTGCGCTCGACTGCGGCACGACACCGCAACGAAGCAAACCAACTTCGGCCGTTTCGGGGAGTAGCTCCCTGTCCACGCTCCATGCCGCGTGGTGTCGTGTGCTATGCCGTGTGCGGTGCTATGTCGGGTACTGCGCCGCGGGTTGCGTGCCGCGTGCCGACCGTCGTGCCGCGCCGAACGCGGCGTGCGGATCCTCGTGGTCCCACAGGAGGCGCTCTGACGAGCACATCCCCCGCGGCGCTCTGCCTCCGCAGCGTGCCGCTCCAATACAAGGACCAAGTCGCGACTCCCAAGCACTTGGTGCACTGGACGAACTTGGAAGATGGCGTCGCGGAACGTTTAGACACCGTCGACATGTATGACGCCATGCGCGGGGGCAACTGCATAGCGCTGCCTCCTCCGCTTAAACCAAACAGGGCCCTGGTAATATCTCTTGCGCCATGCAGCTCTACAGCTTGCCGCAGGAGGGCAACGGGCGCCAATTCGTGCTGAACTACGTCACGTTCGAGAACAAGGTCTGGACCGGAATCGCCAAAGATATCTTCGTCGTTGGCAGGGCGCACACCGTGCACTGGGGGAACCCCGCCGACAATAGCACGCCACTCCAACTTTTCGATTACACGATGGACAGGTGAAGCGGGGTGCAGATCCGCCATTGGGTCAAGCGTTCCCTGGTCGCCGCCGTCGGCGGTGGCGGCTGCGACAGGGGAAGGCGAAAGACGTTTCATAGAAGAGTGCGGGCCGAGGGCAAACAGCCGCATCCAGGAACCAGCTTGTGGAGTGGACCGACGAGCAGATTAACGAAGAGAGCTCGCCGATCTTCGGCCGACATGCGGGGAAAATCAAGGAGTCGCTCCGCAACTGCACCTCGGGTTCTATTGGCGCAAAGACACTCGAGAGCTGGGCGGCCACGCTCAAGCGATTCCATCCGTTCGCGTTCGACCGCGTCGTCGCCCCAATTCCAAAGAGCCAGGACGTGCACGGGACCACGTGGGCCAGCAAGACCAGGACGGCAAATCTGCGGCGTCGAAAAACAGCGGCTCCACAATTTCAACCAACCAATTTGATAAGAACGGTCGCCTTTCGGCTCGGACCGGGGACCGCGTTCAAGCCAGCCGTCGCGGACGACGCTGTCCTCGCGAAGTGGGCCCCCGATGAGATCAAGGCCTTCCTCGACCCCGCCGAGGAGGACGCGCTGCCGCCAGCGAGAACGCAGGGAGCGGACAACGCGCGCCATCGAAAAGAAACCACGCGACACACAACAGCGACAAACCAATTTTTGCGCGTAAAGTTTTGACGCGCGGTCAACGCGCTGCACAGGTGGGGCGGCGCCTCCTTCGAGCAGAACCAGTCCAGCCATACCTGCGTCAACCCGTACAAGGAGGAGTTCGAGGAGCTGGCCCTTTCCATCCGCAGGGGCAAAGAAGAGAGCGCTTTTCAAAACATCGTCAGAACCATCGATTGCTATTTCCAACATCGCCCCCCTCACTGGGGGCTGGATATACCTGCGGCTGGCGTCTACGACAAAGGATCCACTTCCCCGCTTCCCTCCGCCAGCGCCCGAGAAGCCAACCCTCCTCACGCCCGAGATCACACCTATCCTGAAGCATTCCAAAAAGAACCTGACCTTCGCGCCGCCCGACTACGACATGAACATGAAGTGGGCCGTGGCCGCCATGAAGAAGCTTGCTCGGGGCGATGACATCGGGCGCTCGACGACGGTCCGGCTCCCACGCTCTTCAACCAGAACGCGCCCCCGGGGTACAACTTCCCTGAGGTGGAAAGCGCAACGGGCGTCGCCAGCGCAGCCGCGCCTCCCGCGCCCGCCCTTTCAGTGAACCGAGATGACGATGATTATGTCTTCGGCCTTGGCGGTGGGACGGGCGCCGCCGCTGACCCGGATGGCGAACCAGACGTCTTCGGTTTCGGAGGCGGGGTGGTCGGCGACGACGGCCCCCCCGCAGTGGCTGTCGCGTCTGCGCCGCCCGCGGCCTCGGTGCCCGTCGAGCGGGAGCCAAGGGGCTTCCCGCTTGCGCCTCAAGAGCTCCGAGGGGCGCGGCGTCGTCGACTTGAGCACGCCGACCCCCCAAGAGGAGGCGCGAGCCCCTGGAGCGGGACCCGTCGAAAGTGCTCGACGAGGACGGGGTGACAGGCGCCGCCGCGGGGGGCTTGAGCGCTGGCCCGCCAGCGCGAGAGCTCTTCCCGATGGCCGGAGCTCCATGGTGCTATGTTCGAGCGGAGAGCGGGCAGCACGGGGCAAGTGCTGCCCCGTCGGAGCTGCTTGACCTGCGAGCGCACGGCGTCCCTCCACGCGCGCAAACAAGGGGGGGCACGCGGCAGGGGAGGGTACTGAAGAACGCTGTGTTTTCCAGCGTGTCCAGCGTTCCCGAACACTGGGAGCTGAAAAACGCTGTTTTGCAGCAGATGTCCCACTTTTCGCAGTTTTTGTCCGCCCCATTGACAAACGCTGTGTTTTCCACCTGGCCCAGCTTTTCCAACTTTTCCCGGACACTGCCCCATTGAGAAACGCTGTGTTTTCCAGCTTTTCCAGAGAGTACCCCATTGAAACACGTTGTGATTCCAGCTGTTCTAGCCTTTCCAGCTCTCCCAAACGGCAAACCTATTGAAAACCACCCCTTGTGTTTTTAAGCTTTTCCATTGTTTCAGCTTTTGCCAGAGAGCACCCATTGAACAACGCTGACCAGCTGTTCCAGCTTTGTCCAAAGACTACGTAGCAAGATAGTCTCTGAGAAAAGCCGGGAAAGCTGAGAAAGCTGAAAGCAAACACAGCGTTTTTCATAGGGTAGTCTCTGGGAAAAAACTCGAAAAGCTGGAAACGCGGAAAGCACACAAAGGTTGTTCATCGGGTACTCTCTGGGAAAAGCTGGAAGGAAAAAGCTGGAACACACAGCGTGTTTCATCGGGTCCCAAGAGGCTCCTACGAGACCTCCAAAAGCCCCAGGAGGCTCCCCAGAGACTCCGAAGACGCCCCAAAAGGCACCCAGGACTGTCAAGAGTCCCTCTAAGACACCGCACTAGGACTCCAAGAAGCATTCAAGAGGCTTCTGGCCTTTCTGCTCGCCCTCCTCCTCCTCATCCTCCTTCCTCATCCTCCTTGCTCCTCCTCCTCACCCTCCAGTCCTCCTCATTCCTCCTTCCTCCTGCCCCTACCCCTCTCCGTCCTCCTCCTGCTCCTCCGAGTCCTCCTCCATCCTCCCCCTCTTAGGTTACGAGGTCCTACCCAGCCCTTCGTGTCACTGCATGCTCCTCCACATCCCTGATCAGAGCAACTCGTCTGGGCATCGTCTCTGGATGCGCTGGTGGGGTTACGCGAAACGTCTAGAGTTAAAGCTCCGAAGCGATTATGTTTCGGCGATCTGTGTAGGCTTGCCGTTTCGCGTTGGACACCCGCAACACTATGTCACTCACGCGCGCCCGCCACACACATCGCGGCGCGACGGTCCAAAAGCAAAATTACGCTTTGACGTGCGATCAGCAAACCTTCAAACACACAATGGCTTCAATGAGTTAGCACGTAACGACCACGAGCGATTGGTTTTCAACTATCTGGGCAGTATGCCTCCAAGCTTTCCATGCCCACCAAAGTGTTCCCACCATTTCGTATAATCACAAGGTGTGGCAACCCCATATGTGATCTCCCGCTTCGTTCCAACTACAATCGTACGGCATGGAAACCCAACCTATGCAACACTCATCGCGAGGTGTGGTAACCACAGCTGCGCTCGACTGCGCACCCCGTTCCTTCGGGTACCTCAAAATGTTCGCTCAGTTGGGAGTTACGGCGTGACTCACCAGACGAGTCACGATCAACGTTGCGGGTAGGGCGCCTTAGGATACACACGGTGAGCCTCGCCACAAACGCATGTCCCATCACATTCTTGGGCACCCATTGGCACAACTTCCAATGATTGCCAATGTAATTATCAGACGCTGGTCTAACCTGGTTGGCGCCCCCCTGGTTCCAGAGGTGCTTATCACACGTTCTCTAATCGCAAGCTGTGACAGCCCCATCGGTGACCCCCACTGCAATCGCACGGGGTGGAAACCCCACCAACGCTAAACTCATCTTGACTGCACCCCCGCCACTGCACCGCATCATGCACACCTGGCGACGTGCTTCCAGACTGTCGCGCAAGGGTGCCCTTGGGGATGGCCATCTCCCCACTGTTCGTGCACACGCCCTGCACTTCTTGTATAAGCCTGGGCACGCACAGACCACTTGTGCATACATGCATGCATACATACATACCTAGTTACTGATTGACTTACGAACTTACTTGCACACAGGCTTACATACTTACATACATACCTGCATCCATGCATGCAGGCATGCCTGCACGCGTGCATACACACAAATAAATACATGCATGCACGCACGCATGCCTGCATGCCTACATGCATACATCCGTATATCAATAGACCTATAAGCACAACTATGTGTGCACACCAGACAAAATCGCACATTGATAGATCGAGAGAGCGAGAGAGAGAGAGAGAGAAAAAAAAAAACGAGAGAGAGAGAGAGAGAGCATCTGACCGCCCCCGTACAAACCTACTGATGTAAAAGAGCCCGTCCTGTGGGCCTCTTGGGGCTATTGTGAAGCCGTGTGGGGGGGCCTGCTCTGTGCCGCCTTGGAACACCTGCTTGCTGGTCTGTCGAGGCAGTCTGGAGGCCCCCTCCCTCCCTCCCTCCCTCCCTCCCTCCCTCCCTCCCTCCTCCCTCCTCCTCCTCCTCCTCCTCCTCCTCCTCCTCTCCTCCTCCTCCTCCTCCTCCTCCTCCCTCCTCTCCTCCTCTCCTCCTCCTCCTCCTCCTCCTCCTCCTCCTCCTCCCTCCTCCTCCTCCTCCTCTCCTCCTCCTCCTCCTCCCTCCTCCTCCTCCTCCTCCTCCTCCTCCTCCTCCTCCTCCTCCTCCTCCTCCTCCTCCTCCTCCTCCTCCCCAGCCCCGCCTCGAAGACATCCGGTGCCTTGACACTGCTCCATGCATAGACGTGGTCGCGTCGCGAAATGAATTACGGCGGGCGGATTCTGGCCATCTCTGGCCTCTGAGGGCCCTCGCCTGTCGGGGGGAATGGTTCGAGACCTCAACGCTGTGAAAAAAGATCATGGCGTCGGGGGTGTGGGTCCCCAACCTGCTCTTCCCAGCTGATTGTGTCCAATACGGGGTCCCCGAAAGTCCTGACTCTTTCCCTGGGACCGGTTGTTCATCCCGAGTCGCTTCTTTGAAGGGAAACTGGGACACACAAATAAATACACACAAATAAACAGATTCCCCATATTTTCTTATATTTTCTGGGTTTTTGTCTTCCCCACCACTTCCCATATTTTCCCATATTTTGCTGGGGATCGACGACTAATTGTGCCTGTGTGCTTTTCCCCCTCCCGATTCTTGACGGTCCTGGGGCCCAGCGAGGGACCCCTGGGCCGGCAGCCGAAGACGGCCCACAGAAACGCCTCCCACCGTGCCAGTTCTGTCACGGTGCGAGAACGTCTGGTGATGATGATCCTCACCATCCTCTTCATCATCACCAGCATCATTATCACCATCCTAATCATCAGCATCAACATCAGCATCAATATCATCATCTTCACCATCATCATCACCAGCATCATCATCATCATCATCATCATAGTCATCATCATCATCATCATCATCATCATCTGGGGCTGCACCGTCCTCGGTAGGAAGGCACCAACTATTCACCAACACCGATCCTGGCCAGGATCGCCCTGGGCCCAGGATCGGTGTATACGCCCTCCTGCCTTGGGCAAGAAGGCACATACACCGATCATGGGCCCAGGGTGATCCTGGGCCAGGATCGGTGTTGGTGTATAGTTGGTGCCCTCCGACTCGGGGCAGTCGGCACCCAGCCGTCATCAGAGGGAGGGCTTCCACACAGGCGCTTCTCCCGATTTCCACCAGGGAGCGGGGGCCGCGAAGGCCCCCAAAGGGCCCCAGCGCGCCGGGAACACAGGTTCCGCGAGCTTCCGTGGACCCACACCTCCCGTCCAAGTGAAAGCGAGGTCGTCGTCGTCGTCGTCGTCGAACGGTGGCAAAATAGAGGCCTCCCAGATGGGGTCGGAGTAGATGGGGTCGGATGATCGCGCCGCATCGCTGATGCATCACCGATGCGTCGGCGATGCATCCGCGACTTCGGCGACGCATCGGTGACGTCGGCGTGAAGAAAATTAGGCTCCACATCGCGGCGCAAACCTCCCACACCGTCTGCTTGGACCCCATCTGGGAGGCCTAGACCCTAGACACAAGCACAAAGCTGCGCTCAATAATCATAATGCTCGCAAGGAGATCGCGGCGAAAACATATCATAACCGCCTGCTCAAAAGCAGTCGCGCGAACGAGGGCCACCGACAAAGAGTGATGTCACTTGAAGAGTGAGAGCGCGGAGGGAGAAGGGAAGAACAGGGCTCCTGGAGATTCACCAGTCCCGACGTCGTTGATCGCCGCCAGTCAAAAGGCCCCTTCTGGGGTTGAGCTGTTCACTGCCAGGGGGTGGGGGGCAGTTCTCTGTACTGCAAGATGCAGAGCCCGCACCAGCGACAAGAATATGTGAAGTACAGTGGAGGCCAGTCCACAAGAACTCTTCGACAAGAAACCCAATCCTGAGACCCCAGGACGTCCATGGATTGTTGGCGCGGGAGCGTCACGCGCTCCATCGCAGAACCATCGACACCGAAGACACGCAGGGCACCCTGGAGGCAAGCAGGGTGTTTCTTTCCTTGGGCCTCCACGGTACCAGCGACAAGAGCCTGTGAGGTAAGGGAGCAGAGGGAGACATCGCAGCAAGATGTTGCTCAGCTTAGAGCGAGCGCCGAGATCCGCAGACGCTTCCACACCTCGGCGCCGCTGCTCGGGCCGCCCAGGCCCCAATCTACTCTCCAACGGGAGCCTGGCCCTCCGATCCCGCTTCTGAAACGTCGACGGTGCGAGATCTTTGATATATACACGTAGAGAGAAAGAGAAAGAGAAAGAGAGAGAGAGAGAGAGAACGAGAGACGGGGAACTAACAGAACGAACAAACGAAAGAAGGGCACGGATCGTTGGTCTTGTCCTGGATCATGCTTCATTGCCCCAATCTCTCGTTCCGCTTCCTAGGATTCCCAACCGGAACATCACTGGTGCTCCTCTGGTAAAACTGGCCCCCAAGAAAAGCGAAGTTCAACCCCGAGTCCTTCAAACTGAAACTGTTGCCCGCCAAGGTGATACGATGCGCTAACGAGCTCCACCTGTACCGAAGGCGCCATGGCTTTGTCCACCATGGCCTTGTCCACCACGGCGAGATGGCGTACCACGGTGCCCCTTCCCTTCCCACACGCTCCTTGCTGCCTTCAATGTTCAGTTGCCCCATGCGTTTTCTGGCTTCCTCTCAAACTCAAATCATCGCAAAGCATGTACACGCGGACAGGTAGCTATTGAACATGCGCGAGGTAACTAGGAGACACACGTTCGGCAACTTCGTGTCAATTAGAGTGTAGCTGGGAGGAGACTGTCGTAATGCCCGCGCTAAGCAGCTACTAGGCAGCTGTGACGTGGCTGCAACGTCTGTGTCACTGGCTTCAGCGTCGGGGCGGTGCTAAAGCTTGGCCGAGAAACAGACTGGGGCTCCGCACAGCATGGTCAGGCCCGTACGAGCGCCTCCGAAGATGCCAAAGCACTTCGCCGCATCACCCCTTCTGATGCTCGGCCCAAGCCCTCCATCCAAGCACGCTGAATTTCGACCATGGAAGGTAGCGCAAACAACATGCGCGTGGATGCCAGCCCATCGCATGGGCGGAAGCGGATGGCCGAGTCTGGCCGCGGCCCATGCGGTGGGTGCATTGAATAAGGAACCTTTAGATAAGGAATCCAGGGTCTGGAATCTGGTGGACCACCAATTGAGGCTTGGCCATGGATATCACCGCCCCCTTCATCAGATAAGCAATCCTCCAGGGTTTGAAGCCTCGTGGGCGCATTCCTTAACGAACACCCCCCCCGTAGCTGAGGACATCTCTGCCTGCTCCCCGCGCCCGCGCCACTGTCCGGAGGAAGGACCCTGCGCCAACCTCGCAGCTGCCTCAGGACGGCCCCAATGAGGGAATGGACGGGTCACGCGGATAGGACGTGTGGATCTCCACCGCTGACAATCAAGTACTTTGTCTTGGCTGCCCTACTTTTCCGACACCTCGGCAACATGCCGAGAACCCGGGCCTACCGCCCCCCGCTTGCTCGGGTTCTGAGCGCTGCTAGATCGAACAATCCCCGTGGCTCCCCATCGCCAGCGTCTCCATGCCTTGCTCGAGACGAGCGCCTCGCATGCAGTGGGGGGTGCGGCCGTAAGAAGCCATCGCAAGAAACTCAGCTTCAGAACCCAAGCCAGCTTGGGCACAACAAATTCGTAACAATCGGAGGAAGTCGCCGCGCACCGCTGGAAACGAAAACGCCCAGGGTACCCTGACGAAAACCATCCGCTTTCTTTATTTTTGTTGCTTCGTGCTCGAGCATCTCCCAATTGTCAGTGCGGCGGTCCGCTTTGGGATCCGTAGCAGCGGCAGCCTCCACGGGGAGGTCCCCTAACAATGACGGGGACTTCCTGGGCCTTTTCTGCGCTTTGCCGGGGGGAAATGCCATCAATTACATGATGAATGACACACCATCTCTGAGTATATAAGGGAGAAGAAAAGAGAAAGATACATATATATATATATATATGTATATGTATATGTATATGTATAGAGAGAGATGCATTCCTGGCTCCATCTACGGTCGCCCCATATCGCCCCATACGATGGCAGGATGGCACAACATATTAGACGATTGCCGTCGTCCAAACATGGTGCCGCTCGTGTGCACAACACATCTGGAGGCACGCGTCAAAAGACCGGCGCTGGGCCAGCGGCAGTGCCCCACTTCCGGGAGACGCCTGCTGGGGAACACTCGGGGGCTCATGGCGGCCGGGGCAGGAAGGTCGAGTCGAGTTTACTAATCGCCTTTGCCTTCTCCGAGTCCCTGATGCCTCCTCTTGACAAAAACTGTTCCCTAATTTGTGGCCGCCGCGATCGCCGCGGCAACCTCCTAAACCGACGCTGGGTAAGGAACAGCCAGCAACGGCCTCAACAAAAACGGCAACGCAAGAATTCTCGTCCGTGCAGCCGCAGCATGATAGCACCCGCAGAGACAGGCATCTGGGAGACGCCCCAGCCACGCCAGCACGCTGTGGCCAGTCCACCCTGGGAGGTACAAACGCAACCTCGGGCGGAGAAGTCCTGGTGGAAACAGGACGGCCAGCGAGCCCGGCAAATCCGCGCCACCACGTCGCGCGCGCCGACAGGGCGCGTGCGGGCTAGCGTGAGCTCTGCTAGGTGGCGACATCTGAACCCTACCCCCAGAAGCACTGGATTCTTTTAAGTCGAGAGCTGCCTGAATCGTGGATCGGCGAGGAAAGGGTTCGGACTTTGCCGCCGATCTGCGGTTGAAAAACGGGCGGGGCCCGCAGCAGGTAGACAACATCTACGCTTATTATGACATGCAAAATGATGCTGAGCCACATGGGCTGCTTCAGGTTGAACGGATACTGCTGCGGAAGCGCGGAGCTCAAACAAAGGCTCACCGCGCGCCCAGCTCGTAGATCGCGTAGTCTGTCATCCACTTGTTCCTGTCGCACGACGAAGTAAGCTTGCAGCCTCCAGAGCTGCTCGCGTAGCTGAAGTACGCGCAGCCCGACTGAGCCAAGCAGGCGACCCCGCAGGCCTGGAGGTCCGCTGTGGTGGGAAATGCCAGCGGAGTTCCTTTGCACATCCCGACCGAATTCCACAGCGTGTAGACCAGCGGGGTGGGCGCAGGGGTCGGCACCCCTGGCGCGAAGGTGGGCGCCAAGGTCAACGCCAAGTGGTAGATTGTGAAGTCCGTCTCGAACGAGTTGATGCCGTCACAGGTGTCACTCAGCTTGCACTCCGTCGCGGAGTAGCTGAAGAACATGCAACCACTCGACTGCGCGCACAGGCTGCCGCACTGCTCGACGGTCAGTCCGGAACTGTCCGTCGTGCCAGTGCCCTTGCACTTTCCTGTGTCGTAGATCCCATACGTCACCGGGGTGGGCGCAGGTGTTGGGACCCCTGGCGCGAAGGTGGGCGCCAGGGTCAACGCCAAGTGGTAGATTGTGAAGTCCGTCTCGAACGAGTTGATGCCGTCACAGGTGTCACTCAGCTTGCACTCCGTCGCGGAGTAGCTGAAGAACATGCAACCACTCGACTGCGCGCACAGGCTGCCGCACTGCTCGACGGTCAGTCCGGAACTGTCCGTCGTGCCAGTGCCCTTGCACTTTCCTGTGTCGTAGATCCCATACATCACCGGGGTGGGCGCAGGTGTTGGGACCCCTGGCGCGAAGGTGGGCGCCAGGGTCAACGCCAAGTGGTAGATTGTGAAGTCCGTCTCGAACGAGTTGATGCCGTCACAGGTGTCACTCAGCTTGCACTCCGTCGCGGAGTAGCTGAAGAACATGCAACCACTCGACTGCGCGCACAGGCTGCCGCACTGCTCGACGGTCAGTCCGGAACTGTCCGTCGTGCCAGTGCCCTTGCACTTTCCTGTGTCGTAGATCCCATACGTCACCGGGGTGGGCGCAGGTGTTGGGACCCCTGGCGCGAAGGTGGGCGCCAGGGTCAACGCCAAGTGGTAGATTGTGAAGTCCGTCTCGAACGAGTTGATGCCGACACAAGTGTCACTCAGCTTGCACTCCGTCGCGGAGTAGCTGAAGAACATGCAACCACTCGTCTGTGCGCACAGGCTGCCGCACTGCTCGACGGTCAGTCCGGAACTGTCCGTCGTGCCAGTGCCCTTGCACTTTCCTGTGTCGTAGATCCCATACGTCACCGGGGTGGGCGCAGGTGTTGGGACCCCTGGCGCGAAGGTGGGCGCCATGGTCAAATACAACTGGTAGATTGTGGAGTCTGTTAGGTATGGGTTCACATCGGCACAGCCAGGATGCACATGGCATTCCGTCGAGGAGTGGCTGAAGAACATGCAGCCGTTCGACTGCCCGCACAAACTGCCGCATTCAGCGACGGTCATTCCAGTAAGGTCCGACGTCGCGGCACCCTTGCACTTTCCAGTAGCGTAGATGCCCCAGGTCAGTGGCGTTGGTGCCGCAGTTGGAGCCGGGGTTGCGCCAATCTGGTACACGCTGTAGCTCGGGTCTGAACCGACGTCGTCACAGTCCTGAGAAAGCTTACAGTCCCCAGAACCAACAGAATAACTCAAGAAGAGACAACCCACTTGTGCGTCGCACAAGATGGCACATTCCTCGAGACTGCCCGCCGTGGTCGTGGCCCCGGTCCCTTTGCACTTTCCTACACTGTAGATCATGGCGTAGACGGGTTCAGCCGTTGGCGCTGGCGTTGGTGCTGCCGTCGGAAGAGATATTGGCGGTGCTGGCGTAGGTGCTGGCGTAGGTTCTGGCGTAGGTGCTGGAGTAGGTGCTGTCGTAGGTGTTGACGTAGGTTCTGGCGTAGGTGCTGGCGTAGGTGCTGGCGTAGGTGCTGGCGTAGGTGCTGGAGTAGGTGCTGGCGTAGGTGCTGACGTCTGAAGCGGTGCTGCCGTGGGTGCTGGCGTAGGTTCTGGCGTAGGTGCTGGCGTCTGAAGCGGTGCTGGCGTAGGTGCTGGCGTAGGTGATGACGTGGGGGGAGAGGTGGGCGCCGGCGTAGCTGCTGCAGTCGGCTGCGGCGCTGGAGTCGGTGGCGCTGGAGTCGGCGCTGCAGACGGCGGAATGCACGCAGAGCAGCCGTTGCAAGCGCCCCAGTCGCACTGGGACGGGTCCGAATCTGTATCGCACCACTCCCTGCACAACGGCGGCGGTGTCGGCGCTGGCGGTGATGTCGGCGCCAGCGTCGGAGCCGGCGTCGGAGCCAAAGTCGGGGCTGGCGTCGGAGGCGGCGAGTATGTCGGAGGCGGCGTTGGTGGCTGATCCCAGCACTGGTCGCACTCTGCGCAAATCTCAGCTGCTGTGTATTCGACCCCATCGAAAGTATTCGTGTCGTCATCGCAATAAGAATAGCTCCCGCCAATAGTCACACCGTCCGGGCCTGGCCAGTCACTTGCATACGTGGTGCATCCGTCGGGCTCATCACTGTAATAGGCGTTTACGAAGAGGTCCGCATATGCTCCAACGCAGAATGGCAAATTCGGAGTGGGCGCTGGAGACGGTGGCGGAGCCGGCGTTGGTGGCTGATCCCAGCACTGGTCGCACTCTGCGCAGATCTGGTTTGCTATGTATTCGACTCCATCAAAAGTATTCGTGTCGTCATCACAGTAAGAATAGCTCCCGCCAATAGTCACACCGTCCGGGCCTGGCCAGTCACTTGCATACGTGGCGCATCCGTCGGGCTCATCAGTGTAATAGGCGTTTACAAAGAGGTCCGCATATGCTCCAACGCAGAAGGGCAAGTTCGGAGTGGGCGCTGGAGACGGCGCTGGAGTGGGAGCCAGAGTCGGCGCTGCAGTTGGCACTGGAGTCGGCGCGACTGTCGGCACGGTTGGAGCTGGAGTCACTGGTGGAGTCGGAGATGGAGTCGCAGGTGGAGTCGGAGGTGGGGCTGGCGTCGGACTGCATTCGACCGTTGGCACCGGATCAAACCAAGTGTCACCAGCGCAGTTGCACCCAGAGCAGTCCCAGCCAGCATTTTCCCTGTTCGCACAAGTCCATCCGTAGTTTTCCCAATACGTGTCACAAGTGTTGCCAGCAATCGACATCGTACACCCCGTCGGCGTTGGCGCCGGGACGCTGTTGCCGACGCAGGTGCCGCTTATGCACACCCCCTGGCCCGACTCGCAAGGCGTTCCGTCGTCAAGCTGGTTCAGCACCCCGTCTTGCCCCACACTTCCTGTGTACCCCCACATGGGTGTACACCCAGTCCCTTCGAGATCGCAGTTGATCTTGCAGTCGTTGTTCGCGTGCAGGCCGCAGAAGTCGTTCATTATGAAATTGGAGGCGAAATAAAACCCTCCCGTGCACCAGACGCGCTCGCACGTTCCCCGGTCGCAGTAGCCGGTGGCGCCAGTCCAGACGCTGCACGTTTCCTTGCTGGACTTGAAGGTGCCGTCGCAGTTGCAGCAGTCGGCGCCGACGGGCGCAGACGGTGTGCAGTCCTTCCCCGAGTCGAGGACGCAGTCATTGCAGAAGCTGCACGACAGGGCACCCCCCGCGCACTCGCACTCCTCCCCGTCCTCCACGAGCTCGTTCCCGCACACAGCGTCATAGTACGTGAGGGCATCGCAGCCCGAATCGACACGAGCTGAGACAACGGGACAAATGTCGTCCTTGGTAGATTCCGTGTTGAACTGGAAGATGCCCTCATACCTGCCATCTCCGTAATCCATGATTCCGCCCGTCGTACCCTGCCCGTTCTCGAATGCGTGGTCGGCCCCGAAGTTGTGGCCAACCTCGTGAGCAAACGTCAGCCAGGTGCCAGAAGTTATGTATGTGACACCGACATTGGTCATCTGCCCACCCAACGGGTCCATCGAACAGAACCCATTCCAAGCGGACCCCAAGACCGCCAGGCCGACGGTGCCAGCCTGACCATTTGTGAAGCAGTCGTCAAACACATGCCACAAGCCCTGCCTGGACGGCTGCGACCAGGCCATCGCATCATCCAGCTGCTGACTGATACCACTGGCGCAGCTGGCCCAGTCCGTGGACTCTGAGACATACGCTGGGATATAGACCGCGTCGATCATTAACGCGATGTTGAGCTGGGGCTCATAGACCATGTTCGTCATTGCGAAAATGCTCTGCATCCATTCCGTGGCGTCCTCGGCGTCTGTGAATAATGCCGCCCCGTTGTCGCCAAGGGAGACACCCATGGAGAATTGACGCTTGATGTGATCGTCTTCGTAACAATCTGTCCACCTGTGGATGGCCTCCGGGTCGAAGATCCTTTCCGTCGCGCCGGCCGACGTAAATCCGTCTCCCTCGTTAATAATCCTCTCGGAAACGCGTGGGGTGTGCACCTGCAAGTTCGTCGACATCCTGCCAGTGGCAGGATCCGCCTCCACGTCCACGAGGCTCCCGTTCATCCGCACGAGGCCTCGAAGCACGCCCTTCACGGGAGAGAGCACGGCGCCGTTGTTCGCGCTGCGGAAGACGGGCTGGTCGGTCACGCGCTGCCCTGGCACCGTCTCGCCCTTGCCATTGATGATCCTCGCCCCGTTGGTGAAGGGCGACCTCACGCGCTCCAGCTGCAGGTTGTACTTCTCGTTGTTGGAGATGAAGCTCATCTCCAGCGGAGCGGCTGGGCTCAACTCGGCCATGAGGCGCCGTCCGCGTCCAGACTGGCGAAGCGCCGCAGCCTCTTCGACTAGGTCCCTGCCTCCAGCATCCCGCAGAGAGAACGAGATGCTCGTCAGCTCGCGCGGCCCGCTGCCGCGCAGACCGGACTTCGGCGCGGGCGTCACCGTGAAGGAGCCCTTGGCCGACCCGCTCGGCTTGCCCGCAGATGCGGAGCCCGTGATCCAGGTCACGAGCAGCGTGACCAGACCGCGTGACATCTCGGCGCGGGCTGATTGATGTACAGGCCGCGCGGGGTTCGCTGGTGAACTGTGGCTGAAACGAAAACACTTCTTGGAGCCAAAATGACTACGGACCATCCGCTTTCTTGGAGCGCGTCCCCACTCTAGCTCGGCCTCAGCACTGACTCAAGCCGATGCCTTCCTCAATCTCGCTAGGTCGCGCATTCACCCTCGCATCCCCCGCTCCATCCAGCACCCCAGCCCTCCTCGTCCTCCTGCCTTGACATCTAGCTGTGGATATAGCTGTGCTACTACAATGTGTACCTATCTACATAACGGACCTGCCTTGACTTCCGGCTCGGCGGGGCGGCTGTGTCTGGAGCGCCCCTGGAGGGCCCCAAGCGGCCCAAGAGTGCCCCGAGAGGGACCGAAAAACGGGCCAAAAGAACTCCAAGAAGCCCCCCAGACGGCCTAAGAGGCCTCCAAGACGCCCCAGAGCCTCCACGAGCCCTCCCAACAGAGCTCCAAAAATCAGAATCATAACACTCCGGTAAAACAAAACTTGTACGCTTAGCTTCCCCGATACGCAACACGCAACATGTAGCGTGTTGACACGGAGCTCAAAACGTAGACTGAACACGTAGGTATGACGCGATACGTTCGCAAAAACGTGACCAACACGTGCCAAGCCAACACGCAGCGTGTTAACACTGACGTATTGAACAGAGCACGTGTTGCGTTTCAACACGGGCATATCAAGGCAGCTACGCTCATATGTTGAACACTCCGACGTTTCTTTCATGGCGTCCAGCACGGCCCAAGAGGCCTCCCAGATCACCCCGAGACAGCCCAAGAGGTCCTGAAGAGGGCCCCGAGACGCCCCGAGGACCCCTCGGAAGAATTCAACAGGGACATCACCGTTCCAACCTGATCATATACCGAACCGGGGAACCAATGGGCATGGCGACAGCCAAAAAGTCAACATGTATGTATGTGTATATGCATATACATATATACATATATATATATAAGTATACAGATTCAAATCTGGATTCGGACGTGGTGACCCGCCACAAGGCAGAATGCTCAGCGTGTCGCGTCGGCGGCCCCAGCGACACGCTATGCCCTGCAAGCGGACAGCGTGTCGCTCCGCTCTGCGGGGCGGGAGGCTTCGAAATGTTCGGGACGTCGACGCTTGGGGACTGGGGCGTGGTTGGCGTGTCGCGCCGGGGCGTGGTGAGATAGAACCGGCGGCGCGACACGCGAAGCAAAAGATCCCGACCGTGAGCTGTATACCTTAGCGCGCGAGAAGATCAGGAGGGGCCAGCAGCGCAACCAATCAACTCGGACAACCTGGTCGGCACAACACGGTGATGAAGAAAATGCGAAACTGCGCGCACGCTTGCAAGTCGCCTGACTGAGACTAGAAGCCGCAGATCATCTGTCGGACAGGACACCGACAATGAACTCCATTACGCCTCATTGCTATCTGCACCACCGTCTCGGCAACAGGGCAACAGGCAAGGATCTGCGAGAAACCTGCGTGCTGAAAGCTGGCGGGCCCTCGGGCACGGCCCGTGTGAGCTCTACGCTTGGTTCTGCCCGCCGTGCCCGTGGAGGAAGTTGAAGACCTGTTCGGACAAGGCTTGCCAGGAGGCGAACAATCGGAGGAGACGATGAGGATGGCCCAGGGGCGAGCGTTACAGTTTTCGGGGCTCGGCAATAGCAGCATGACTTCGGGCGCCAGGGTGGGGGAAATGAGGACTTGAACAGGCGCGCGGCGCAAGCCTTGGATTAGTGCGAGGATGTTGCCATAACGTCGGTTCTGACGAGATGCATCGGCGCGCGGCGCGAGCCCGATTCCACGGCTGGCGCCCACCCCATTCAAGCCAGGATGGCAGTAGTGGCGAAGAGATACGGGCGCACACTGCGGCGCGGAGTGGCGAATCGTGCACGAGATTGCGGCGTCGGGGGGCCTTGGCCTGGGGCGGCAAAGCCTCGCTGCATCTTCCCGCTTGTACGATGCAAAAAACATGTGAGGGAACATCGCAATCGCATAGCACGTCGCCAACAGGCCACGAAGGCGCTCTGGTTTCCCCAGAGCAGATGGATGCATGTAACGGAAACTGCGGCTACGGCTACGGCTACGGATCTGCACTCGTGGCGCCATGAAGATGCGGCGGAGGGGGCACCGAGGCGCATGCTAAGGTACACGCGTGCGAAACATTGTGAAATTCTGCATGGGAGGAAGAGGAGGATGAGGAGGAGGAGGAGGAAGAAGAGCAGGAGGAGGAAGAGGACGGAAGGACCGGCAGTATCACTGCTGAGCGCGTGTGTCCCGGCAGTCGTCCCACACCGGCGTGGTAGCGACACGGGGCCAATCCACATGCCCACAACAATCGATGACCAATTTGCGTAAATCATCTGTCCATTGAGCTCTTTGGCGCCCAGGCCGTCTATGAGGTAATCCTTCTGTGTCGTTGTCGGGTTTCCACCGTAATCTTTTCATGTGCCAATTCCCGGTGAGTCCACAGACAACTTGTCGTGCCCATTCGTAGACTCGTCTCCGTCGTATAGTTGTCCAAGATTCGGCATTGAATTGTTGCATCCGCAAGCGTGCCTCGGTGGTCGCACGTTTGATCCAACCAACCCAAAGTTCCAGAACGTTTTCCGCATCTTCAATCATCAATGTTTCGTCGCAGGTTGTGTCGGCGCCGTGCTCCCCGGAATCGTTGCTGGAGTCGTTTCCGGCGTCGTTCCCGGGTCCGTTTGTGTCGCGGGGTTGTTGCATGATGTCGTTGTCGGTGTGATGGTGCCGGCGACGTGTGACCCCTATTATCATCCGAAGCATCGGTCGTTGAGTTCTCTGTAAGCGGTTTTCCAAAGCTGTCGTTAGTCTCCAAGCTTCACACTTGTACAATATTGTAAGTGTCGCATATCCATGAAATAGTCGCAGTCTGTCGCTCAGCGAGTGATATTTCCCCATCGATGCATGTTTCAGCGAAAAGAATTTCTTTCAAACGGTGGCCACCCGGTTGTCGAGCTCATTGCCGCGAGGGTCCGAAAACTGAACCTTGCGCCCAAGGTAGTTGCAGGATCTGAAAGGCGGCAAGACCGCGATTGCCATCCCATTCGCCTGTACCTGCTGCGGTGGTCGGCAGCGACGAGAATGTCCATGACCGTTGTGCAAGACATTGATAGGTCTTGTCAGGATGCAAGGCGACTCCGATGCTCTGTGCTTCTGCGCTGAAGTCTGCAAGCGTTGCTCTATATCAGATGAGAACGTTGCAACGAAGAGTAACTCATCGGCAAAGCGTACATTGTTGAGCCGGTCATGGTCGCCAGGTTGGAGTCGCAACCCCACGTTGAGATTATTCCAAGTTGTTGTTAGTTTTCCGCATGCTTGGCTCTGTGACACACTCGAACAACAAAGAAGAGAGTGGATCTCCTTGCTTTTCTCCCCTTTGTATACTGAATCGTTTGCTTGCCTTATCAATCTTCACGGCGCCCGTCTGATCCACCCATTTGATCCTGATACAGCTTGTCCAGCAGAATCCCGTAGCTGTTCGGAACGCCCTGCTCCGTCAGAGCAGGAAACTGAATACATGCAACCCCGACTGAATACATGTAACCAAACATGAGCACGTGCAACCGAACAACAGGTAACAAACAATTTCATGTAAATAACGGAAAACCGATACAAGTGAGCGAAACTGAATACATGAATTCGTGTTTGCTGCACCCGAGGCGTTTCTACCACCACGGCGCCCCGCCGCATCGCGCGCGGCCTGCCTGAATTTGGGCCCCCGCGGCCACTCAGGCATCGCCTTTCCTACAGCAGAGCATCATTTGGAAGATGCCTCGTTGCCCCTCCGCCCACAGCTGCGGTCTCTTGGCGCCGAGCTACACGCAGGGCGTGGCACTGCGGTCGCCGCAGTGGACGCCCCCACCTCCTTGCCGCAACGGACATCGAGACCAATGACATCGGGCATCGCTAGTGATATCAGGTTCAATCCGCGCGCCGCCGCATCTGGCCAACGCCGTGCTTCCCACGGCATTCGGTGCGCCATTCCCGCGCCAGTCCACAACCTGCGCCGCGCGCATGTTCAAATCCCCAGACCCCCCACTCCAGCGCCCGAAACAACGTTGCTATATTAACGCGCTCCGAAAAGTGTCACGCCCGCCCCTGGGCTATCCACCCTCACCGTCTCCCCCGAAACAACTGGAAGGTCCCCAGGACGTCTCCTGGCGACCGTAAGCTCATCGTGGGAGACACCACTCACCTGGCTGCCGCTCGAACGCAAAACCAGCGACGGAAACGCTCTGGGTACGCACTGGCTGGCGCAGAGAAGGCCACAGGATAAGCACATGTTCCTCGGCGAGCGATCGCTCGGCGTCGCGGAGGTCACAGTAGCGTAGGCCGGGGAGAGCAGGAGTCAGCACAGGCACTCACACACACACACAAACTCACACACACACACAGACACACACACACACACACTCACACACGCATGCACGCATTCAACCCCGCCTTTCAAGTAATATGTTCTGGACTGTCGAACTAGTTTACTATTCCGTCTGGCTCCCGGCATGCCGCCAACAGGTGAAGATCTATCACCGAACACCATCTCACAAAAGCTTGGCTTTTTAGTTACAGTCGCACAAGCAATGCCTCTCCCACACCTCGTCGGCTTCGTTCTCCTCGCCTGTTCCTCTTTCCCTCCTCCTCCTCCTTCTCGTCCTCCTGTTTCTCTTACCCACTTATCATTTCCTTCCGAAATACGATCCTCGAACGCCTGATTGATCCGTTTCCGCCTGCACCTGCTCCTCACGCCGCTGGTCATAAGATTCCTCCCCTCCCTGCTATTCGTCATCCTACCTCCTCGTCCTCATCTGCCTCCTACTCCTCGTCTTCTTCTTGCTCCTCCTCCTGCTTCTTCTCCTCATCCTCCTCCGTTTGGAGCCTCCTCGTCGTTTGTCCACCTCCTGCTCCCAACTCTACGTGTCCACCGCCATATTCCTGATCCACCTCAACGCACCAGCTCCTGACAATTCCTCCTCCAATCCTGTCCACCGTCATCCTCATCATCGTCGTCACCGCCACCTTCATCATCACCACCACCATCATCATCGTCATCAGCATCATCATCAGCGTCATCATCGGCATCATCATTCTCATCCTCATCCTCATCCTCATCCTCATTACCTTCATCATCATCATCACCACCACCATCAGCATCATCATCACCACCATCAGCATCATCATCAGCAACATAATCACCATTCGCATCATCATCATCATCATCATCATCATCATCATCATCATCAGCATCGTTACCACCTTCATCATCACCATCATCACCATCATCATCGGTCGTCATCAGAATCAGCATACGCATCACCCTCATCATCATCATCATCCTCGTCATCATCATCATCATCATCATCATCATCATCGTCATCATCATCATCCTCCTCCTCCTCCTCCTCCTCCTCCTCCTCATCATCATCATCATCATCATCATCATCATCATCATCATCATCCTCTCACCCCCACCATCATCAATCATCACAATAGTTGTGCATCACCATCATCATCATCATCCCCTCTCCCTCCAACTCTGCCCTCCCCTCCCGCGCCCCCCTCTCCCGCTCGTCCCCCTTCCGCCTCCCCCGCCCACCTCCCCGCTCCTCGCTCGTAGGTCAACCAAAAATCTTCTCAGCCTTTCGAAGAGGCCGACGGGGGCGCAGCCTCAGATGCACACGAAACTGCTCATCCCCGCTCCTCCTACGCCCCTCCCCATTGCTGCCATGGCCCGCCCGCCGACACGCGCCGGAGCCCACTGCCGCCGCCGACGGCGCCGCAGCGCACCTGTTCGCCTGGGCGCGGCGCACGGGCGCGGGCCCGCCCGAGGAGAGCCGCGCGGGCGGCGAGACTTCGGGGCTCCCAAAAGCGTGGGGTGCAGGACCGCGTGGTGTCCTCGGAACCCCCAAATACCTCGCCGCGCGGTCCGTCAACGCATTGTTCTAGGACCGCGGAGGCACTGGTCGTCCGGGGCGTCCTCCGAGAAAAAACCGAGTCCCAAAACCGCGCGGTGACCACGAATCCCCACCCACTCAGCACGCGGTGCGATCACCCCACCATCTGGGGGGGGGGTCCCGAGAGTCCACCGAAGCCGTGGGCATCGGCACTGGGGGGGCGCAAGGACCTTCGCGCACGCGTCGCGCGTAAGGACGGGGGCCCTGGGCTCGCCCAAACAGCGCCGGCGGCGAGACCACCGAGGCAGTAGGCATCGGCCCCGCAGGGGGGCGCAGGTACCTTCGCGATCGCGTGGCGCGCGAAGGCGGGAACCGTGCGGGGAGCCTCGATGCCAGGCACGAACCTCTCGCGCGGGTTGCGGCCCGAGGCAACAGCCCAGCGCCTGCTGCTCCACGGCCGGCCGGGGCAGCCAGGGCCCCATCACACGCCCCGAAATCAAAACTTTCGTCGGCCGTGGCGCGTGGCCTCTCTTACCCCGTGGGCCCCTAATGGGATCGGCGCGGGGGTCGCTAATGGGACACATCAAGTTTCTCAGTGGATACCCAAGTGGGTTACGTATATCCTAATCGAACCTAGAACGAACGCATGAAGAACGACCCCCGCCACCCACATGAAAAAACTTCAGATTAATGAGGCCGTCGAAGAACGCGTGAACTGCAAGCTGAAACAACTCGACGGTCAGCCGACGACAACGCCGCACGATTCAATGCGACCGGCGCGTTGCTGCTATGCTCGTTGGCGTTTGATGAACTTGGCGGTGCCTTGTGCTGGCACGCTGTCAATGCCCAAAGTCATCGTGGATGTTCGCGCGCTCGTGCCAGGGCAAAAACCACGGGGCCCGTCGGCTCTTGGCGGCGCTGGCAAGAACCCGGGACGGCGCCTGGGGCCCGCCCCGCACGGGCGCGCATCGAAAAGTTTAGGTCCACCCCAAAAACAAAGTTTAGGCACCAGTTGAAACGAGTTTGTATACATTCTATATAAAAACGATATAAACTTCTCCGAAACGAAAAATCTCGCGCGCGAGAGCCCCGAAAAGTTCAGATGAACAGAACATGCGTTTATAAACATCCCCAAAAGATGTACCTTGGAACAGTCGTCTCAAGAGTATCGCTCCCGATCTAAAGTTTCCCGCCGGCGGGTGGGTTACGAGGGGGCGACGGAGGCGGGGGCGGGGGCCCGCGGCTGGGCCAGCGGGTTGCCGTGCGAGGGACAGCACCGCCGTCGCCTCAAACTGCATGCCGCGGCCGTGGCACGCGCGGCCCTGCGAATGCCGGCGCGGCCGCGGCCTCGTCGAGTGGGCCCAGCACGTCGCCGCGCGCGCGGGCCCCCCCTTGCGGCAGCTGGCAATGACCTCGCCGACAGGGCGCCTACACTTACGCACGCTCGCCATATATGCAAAACGCAGACATGTAAAATCCATAGTTGTGGGGGCTGGGATCGGCTTCCCACTGTATGAGAAGTGGGTCGCAAATGCTCCATGTGGATTGCGGGGGAACGATCTGGGCGAAGTGGGCCCCGCCCACTCAATAGCGGAGTAATCTAGCCTCTCACGTACCTGGGTCGCCCCGCCGCGGAGCTACAACCCTTAGATCTGACGCTGCTCAAAAACTGCAACCGACCCTACATTTCTGCGCCATGATTTCGAGCCCGATCGGTCTGCGAGGGTCCCGGGGCCCGAGCCTGGGCGAAAACGCCCGGCGAAAAATTCTTGTTTGGTCGGCGGCTCCCAGGCGACGGTCTAGAAGCGAAAGCGGCGTCCGGGTGTCGGAACGAAGCGAATTTGCGAACAGAGCCGCCCGGCGAAAAATACTCGCAGCGCCAAGAATTCAGGGCAGGCCCGGTCATCCGCCCGACCGTGGCCGCGCCATCTCGCGCCGCGCGGCGCTCTCGCGAGCCCGTTTTGCTCCAGAGGCGCGGCTTCTCCGCGGCCGAGGCTGGGGCCCCCGGCTGGGAGAGAGGGAAGGGAGAGGGGGCGGACAAGGATCAAGGAGGAAAGGACGAACAGGGGGCTTTCTTTGCGTCGATGGGGAGAGAGAAGGGCCTGGACCGAGGGGAGAAAGCGGACAAGGATCGAGGGGAGAGGGAAGGGCCTGGATCGCGGAGGAAACGGCGATACAGGAGGCTTCCTTTGCGTCGAAAATCGGCTCTTGGTAATCCACTTGCTGGTCCTCGCCGCCTGCGTGCTCGTCGCCCTCGCCGCAATCGGCGTCCTCTTGGCACTCGTCGAGCTCCTCGCGCTCGTCCGCGTTGTAGGCTGCGGTTCCAGAACTCTCGCGATAGCTTGGCATCGTACCCAGGCCTGACGTGTTTTTCTCCCACCGCGCCCTCGACCTTGGTCAATAACAAGTCGTCTCCAGCTTGATACGTGATGAGCTGCCTGCCTTCTTTTTCCAGCCCAGCCTGTAGTTGCAAGAACCAGCCAAGCACCTGGTCTGGAAATACCACCTCATGTGATCGAACGTTCCGATCTGATGTCCGAAACCTCTTCAAGTAATGCTAGCAGGGTCTCCTTGGGCTTGCGGGCTGCATTGAAATTGCCCCGACGGTGGGACCCCGCACGAAAACCTATTTAGCTTGCCCCTCGCCTTTTTCTTCTGCAGTGCACCCTGAAAACAAGGAACACAAACAGGGCCTCGGCGGTGAGTCGTAGAGCCTTCCGGCCATGCTCGAACCTTGCGGTCCGCTCGCCGCCAGAGCCCTTCGGCCCCAGCGGCGAGTCGCAGAGGCTTTCGGCCATGTTTGAACCTTGCGGCCAGCTCGCCGCCAGAACCTTTCGGCCCCGTCGACGAGTCACAGAGCCTTTCGGCCCCGAGTGAACCTTGCGGTCCGCTCGCCGCCAAAGCCTTGCGGCCCCGGCGACGAGTCACAGAGCCTTTCGGCCCCGCGTGAACTTTGCGGTCCGCTCGCCGCCAGGGCCTTTCGGCCCTGGCGGCGAATCGCAGTACCTTTCGGCCCCGCGTGAACCTTGCGGCCCGCTCGCCGCCAGAACCTTTTCGATCCCGGCGGCGATTCGCACTGCCTTTCGGCCCTGCGCCCCTCAGTCGCCCTTGTGTCCGACCCTAGTGCGGAACCGCGGGACGTTTGCCGACGACCAGGTCAGCATAGAACACTTGGTTCGCCAACGCGAAGTGCAACCCCCTCCCTATGGTGCCCCCGCTTCACGTTCAAGTCCGAGGCGGGTCATCGGTCTCTTGTCACCGTCGTCACTGTTGAGCTCCTGAGGCTTGAATAATAAGGAAGTATAAGGCTGTAGCCTCGTCTGTGAATGAAACGCGAGGAAGGGTCAGGCCGGATGCGTCCTCCATCTTCAGGCCTCAAGAGCCCAAAAGTGACGACAGTGACAGGAGGCCGATGACACGCCTCGGATTCGAACATGAAATGCGGGCCCCATAGGGAAGGGCCCGCCTGAGACGTCTTCGGAAATTACTCACAAACGAAGTTCCCGCCTCAATATTCCTTCATACTCAGGCTTCAAGAGCCCAAAAGTGTCGACGGCTACAGGAGGCCGATGGCCCGCCTCGGATTCAAACGTGAAGCGTGGGCCCCGTAGGGAAAGGGCTCCCGCCTGCAATTTCTTTGCAATTCACGCGCAGACGAAGCTCACGCCTCATAGTTCCTCTATATTCAGGCATCAGGAACCCAAAAGTGTCGACATTTACAGGAGACCGATTACCTGCCCCGGATTCGAGCATGAAGCGCGGGCGCCATAGGGAGGGGGCTCCCGCCTGAGATTTCTGTGCAATTTACTCACAGACGAGGCTCCCGCCCGAGACGGCACACAGGCGAATGATGATGATGATGATGATGTTGATGATGATGATGATGATGATGATGCTGATGAGGATGATGAGGACGGTTGAGATGATGATGAGGCCCGTGGTGATGATGGTGTGTGAGTGAGTGAGTGCGTGATCGTGCGATCGTGCGTGGTGGGTGTGTGCCTGATGATGATGGGGTGAATGATTGAGTGTGAACGATTGGTTGCGAAATATAATGATTGTGTGTGGTGAGTGTGTGACTGAAGATGATGGTGCGAATGATTGAGTGCATGAGTGTGCGAAGGGGAAAACGCTGAAGGTGGTATGGTGATGATGGTGCGTGAGTGATTGAGCGAGTGAGCGGGCGAAGGCAGAAGAGGAGAGGGGGTGCGGTGACAGAGCTGCGCGGGGTGCCCAGAGAAAACAAGAACCCCACTTAGGATGTGGGGGACAATCTCAAAACCTGCCAGGATCTCCATGGTCTGATCGTACGTGTACGCCCGGTCGAACGCCCCGAGGATGGTCTGCCAGCCCTTCCTTCTCGATGTCTGATGCCTTGTATTATCCCCGGCCTTCGACCCCGCAGGCCTTGCGCAATCTCGAGCCCTACTTTTCTGGTTGTCGTCTTCGAGCTCTCGCGGCATAGATCTTGACCTCCTTCCGGAATGCTTTGTAGCCACCGATCGAACCGTCGAACTCTGGGAATCTGCCGCTGGACGGTATAGAAGCCTGGCCGCCATCATCTTGCAGTGCTGCTGTCGCCGCTCCTCTGGCCCCACCAGGAGGTCCCATAGGATACACTGAGGACGTCCGTGCGCTGATCGCTCCAGCTACCAATGTCACTCGGTCGAAGCCCTCTAAGTCCTCGATCGCACTCGAATCGAAATCCAAAATATCTGCTGACATCTCGTCGACACTCTCTCTCAGAATCGCTCCGCGCCTAGGGGGCCGTGAAGATAGGCCTCTCGAGCCCAAACTGCAACAACGTTTGCTCCATGCCAACAATGTTTGCTCCATGCCTTCTGCTATACATCACGTTTCTGCTAGCAACTGTGCTGGGGAGGGGCATGCTCTTACATGTT